GGTCATTGTAGCTTCCACAGATGCTTGTAATGAACTGATGGCATATTCGTTGATATTATCATGTTGTTGCTACACTTGCTGCATCAGAAGAAACCTTCGTAAGATGCTTAACATCACGGTATCTCTCGTCTTTTTTTTACTCTTTGATTTAAGTTTTGTAATTTGAATAATATTTTTTATAAACCGCCAATCCGCCCGAACCGCCAAGGCAAATCCGCCATTATTTGCCAACCGAACCGCTGGTTTTTAATAAGGAAAATGGCAAATTCTAGTGACACTTTTATCAATCCGCCACCCGCCATACGGTTTCTATTTTTCTCTCAAACTGCACCGACCCGCACCGCGCACACCCCTAGCTGCCTCTAAAGAATCATCATCCAGTGCCTCTTCATCAGAGTCTTCCTTCTGGCCTGCTACACCTTGTCCAATAGCTGGTAAACTTCTAACATCTTTTTTTATAGTAGTCTGGTTAGCAACATGCATTTGCACATTGACCTCTTCCAATTCTTTCAATGATAAGTTCTGGAAGTGTGACACAATGACATTGGCTGGCACTTCTCCAATTTCTGGAAATGGATTAGTGTCAATCCCCATGGCCTTTTCTGCTTTAGCTGGAAATTTTAAACTTCCCTTTCGAATCTGTTCTTGGATCCTATCTCGAAAAATAATGCAGTTTTTAGTTGAGTGAGACCAAGAATTATGTCATTTACAATATACTTTTCTTTTAAGTTCCTCTAGAGACGGAATTTTGACTCCTTTTGGTAACTTCAGGAAGTTTGTCGTAAGCAAATGATCAAAAATGTCATCTGCCTTCATTAAATCGAAAGAGTATTTCCTATGAAGGTCTTTCTTTTTAAACTGCTGGTCTATTGTTGTGTCCTTATGAATTAATGCCTCACAGATCACAGGTTCTTTTCCTACAATCTCTGCTACATCAATCTCATAATTGGGATCTCTATAATACGTCTTGTATGATGCATTACTTTGATCTTGTTCTTTCTCTAGTAATGCATCATATCTAGACACCTTATAGGTTAGTTCCACTAAATCTCTAAACTCAGTTGAGTCAAACTTCTTTTGAAGCCTAAACTCTAGACCATTTTGAGCCAATCTCATAAATTCAGGCTCTGGTAAAATACCCCTACATTTGTTTCGTGCTCTTTTGAATCTGACAATAAACTGAGTGGCCTTCTCATCGGGCCTTTGACTTAACCTTGCCAAGTCTGCCATGGAAACTTATGGCTCTGTTTGGAAGAACTGGGCATGAAATGCCTCCTCTATTTGTTGCCAAGTTTGGATAGAGCCAGGTTTAAGGTTAATATACCATACAAAGGCTGCCCCAGTTAGAAAATTTGGGAACAATCTTAACTTCATGTAATCATTATTGGTAAATTCTCCATATTAAGCAGCGAACCTAGCAATATGTTCAACCGTTGACTGGTTTCCATTCCTATAAAAAAGTGCAAAGTCTGGTATCCTAAATTCTCTTGGGTATTTATGTTCCCTATCTACCCATTCTGGATATGGCTTCCTGTACGTAGGAGTTTGAACCCCCCGAGACATCGATCCACACATCTCTCTAACAATATTAGCAATTTGGTCCTTAGGAATCATATTTTATGCTTGATTTGGTGGAAAACCTTGTGCTTGAGGTCCTCTTAGTCCATAGGGCGGCATATTTGGGACTGGTTGTCCTTGTGGTGCCGGTTGTTGTTGAGGGTATGGGTGACCCCTCTGAGCCTGTCCTACGAAAGAACCTGCGAGAGGTGTTGGAACAGGTGTTGTGTCTCTTCCAGTTGCAGGAAACCCTTCCAACCCTCCGGGTACAAATTCGAACAAAGGATTAGTGAATCCCCTCGTGCCAGGTATGGCTTTGAAAATGGGATTTGGAAACATCCTTATGCCATTTTCTTGTGTTGGGCCAGATTCACCAATTTGCATGGCATCACTGTTAAGTAATAAGGCATTTTGATTTGTCACAAGCCTCGAATAAGGCTCATACCAAGACTGAGGTGATGGTCTTTCATAGTTTTGGTTACTAGTTTGACCATTAGTATATCCATTACTCTGCATAGGCTGTTTATCTCTAGCCAATCTTTGTTGAGGGACATTTGAAATTTCTTCTACGTGCCTTGCGTTAGTTGGTTGATGAGTATTCATTCGATCCAAAAAGAATGTTGCCCATCTTTCCATTGTGTTCATTAACTGCTGTCCCATAGCATCTACTAGGCCTCCCCATGGATTCATTGGCTGAGTAGATGGAACAGTGGATGCTCCAATTCCTTAGCCTCGTCCAATATTTTGAGCATGTGGTACTTGTTCTGAAGTGCTGGTCTGTTTGAAAATAGGTTCTGATAAAATAGGTACTTCCACAGGATGTGTTATTACAGGATGTGTTATTACATTATCCTCTAGATTAGGTATTTCTACCTCTCCTTTCACGCCTTCTTCCAAGCGTTCATTTTCTCATTGTCTCCTACATCTAGCCATTTCAATTAGTCCCACTGGGCGTGCCAAAAATATATGTTTGTTTTTTTTGACTTTCGAAAGTTATTATTGTAATTGTGAGCGTGCCAATAAGGATCAATCAGTCCTTAGAGAATATTAATTGCCAACCAATTATCAAACGATTGTGTTTTAGTTCTTTCAGCCTCAATGAAGATGACTTTTACTGGTGGCTTTGTTTAGGAGAATTAAGCAAACAATGATTAAATGAAGAACAATTGTAACATTTCATTAAGTAAAATGAAAGACTTACAAAGATCCAAATTAGCCTCGTAGAGGTTTACAGTAACAAACTACTTGAAACTACTCCTATGAACGAAATGCAGTGCATGAATTTGAAGTACAGAAATGTAAAGAATAAGAAATGTAAAAACTGGAAGAAAAAATAAAGTAAATAAAACAGGTTTTTTGGATCTGAGTCTGGGGCTCTTTATGAGGCCTTCTCTGCTATTTATATTTCTCAATGACAACCGTCGAAATGCATTACTAATCGTCGAATCATCCCTCCATGATCGCTGATCATGCTGCCTTACAGTTAACTCCACTATGCCATATTTGCAGTTAGGCTTCCCTTATGATTTTGAATTTAAATATGAGTAACCGTTGAAGTCACGTCATTTTGCATCTCTTTGCTGATCCAGTACTATGCTGATCCACAATAATCAATGCTAACTGCCACGTGTGTGATTACGATTGAAGATTTGAATTGTCTTCCCATATTGCCCTCATCCTGCTACATGTTTAATTGTTTAACTGTTAAATTTGATTTGACAATTAAATGAATTTCAAAATGTTTAAACATGATTTATTTAAATAACGATCCAATCTCTAATGAATTTTTATCAAATCATATACAAATTAATTTTAAATTACTTACATTCCTTTACAAACCAAAACTAAAAGCAGAATAACCGAGAGAGCAAAGTCGAAAACTAACTGCACAAATACTGATTCCTGTACAAGCAACCAACACCAAAACAAAGAGCTCACCACCACACCACTACTACTACACAAGAAATCAGTGCTATGATGTACAAGTTTCTCTCAAGCTCCCTAGAACTCTTAATGGTAAGTCACACCTACTTTTAGCAACCACTTAAATTAACTTTAATTTTTGACACTTAAATTTTGTATCAATTTAATTTAATAAGTCAATTATAATTTTTGAAAAAAAATATCACTGTGTTAGTTAAAGTAAACTCACTAAGTTAAACAAGTTTTCAAATTTGCCTATAAACGTATCACATATACCGCTTATGTGTACATTTTCTATCAAAAAACACCAAAAATTATAATAACTTAGACTAAATTGAGACAAAATCATAAATTTAACATCAAAATCAAATCAATTAAATTGCAGGAACCAAAATAGTATATGGGCCAAACTATAGAAAGCATTAATATAATTTACTAATATATATATATACTACAATAAAATGTTAATAATAAAGGCCTGTTTCTATGAGGAAGATTAATGCAAAGTGCAACTGTACTTGTTTGGTGCATCTTTTATTACATTAAAATTTGATAATAAAAAGACAAATAACACCAACATCGAGAGTCACGATGCCAGTCAATATCCCACCTCTCATGTAAAACAGCTCAGAGCACGTATGCAAAGTTAGCTTTTTTAATTATAACAATGCTACATTTCACTAAAAGTGGTGTTTTAAAACACCACTAATGAATTAGCACCCACTTTTTTTAAAAAAAAAAAAAAACAAGGCACAAAAACATTGTGACAGTGGGTCCCATCCACTGCCACATCATTAGTAGTAACACTAATTAGTACTCCCACTCATTTTCCTTTTAATTAACCTTTTGTTTTTAATTAATTTGATAATTGTGAACAAAATAATATAAAATAATCATAATTTAAATGTGACATTTTTATTGACAATTTTATTTTATTTTGTCCTCATTGACAATTTTAATTTATTTTATCTTCAGAGCCTAAATGGACCCCGAGGTTCTGCCAAAGAACTAAGACCCCATTTGGAGACTTACTATTTTAGTCAATTAGTCAAAAAGTTATTAAATTAGTCAAAAAGTCAACAACTCATACCAAAAAGTCAAAGATTCTCTTTTCTCTCTACTTTTGCACATCTTTTCATAATTAGCCAAAAAGTCATCCCAAACGTACAAATTTTTTTTACCTACCTTTTTAACCAAATAATTAAAAAATTACTTATTAACCTGTTCCCAAACGAGGCCTAAGGAATCTTCTCCAACACAGAGGATAGGTAATTCAGAAATAGAGCATATATACATCACTGCAAACCTTGTTCAAAATATTATAACACTAACGAATGAACAATAACTAAACAAAATCCAACATCTAAAACACCAACAGAGCCAAATTTCCAAACAAAGACAATCATCACAACATGTATCCTGTCGGAAGGTCCCTCCATTGAGGCCGATTTAAGCAATACCGTCTTCATGGGTCTCAAAAAATGTATAAATATCATCACCTGACTTAAAAATCCCCCATATAAAAATAAAAAAAAATTGTATATAATTATGCAAGCAACAGTATAACAATAACAGTGGCATGAGCAACATCAATCCACTAAGGACCAATTCTTCCAACCTCTAACCAACCACAATCACGAAACCACTGACTTCATCATCCCATCGACGGAAGGTAATCTGGCCCCAAAGATATTAAAAAATAATAATAATAATAATAATAATAGCTGAGGGGCAGGCAAGGGGAAGTAGAAGCAAAATTCCCCCCTAAGGAAAACACCAAGTCGCAATGAATAACCATGAAATTAAAAGACAACAGTTCCCACCAAAACCATACATACATCATCCCAACAAACTCATGTTCACTACCTTGTAGCCATAAACAGCTCTGGTTTTTTGTTTTTTTTTCTTCCCCTCCGATTGTTTTTCTCTTATTTTTTTTTTTTATAAGTTTTTCCGTCTTTTTACTTTTCCTTTTTAATTTTGTTTTTCTATTTTGCCCCATTAGAAGACATGTTTCATCATGCCATGGCAAGGCCAAGACCATTACCTCCAAAAACACAATATGCAAGATATTTCATCATTGAGTGCCTCCATACCCCCATCTTTCTCAAAAAACCCTTCATGACAGAATGTGCGCAACAGCGCAAGATTCTCATTTACTTGAACTTCTTGTTGAAACAGGATGCTCGGAACCAGCTTGAACAGTCGCTTGGCCTATCCCCTCACCACTGGATGATTGAGACTGACTATGCCAATCCCCCGACAATGATCTACTTCGGAATGCCTCAACCTGACCCTGTTTGTTTGTCTTGTCCTCCAGTGACATACTCTGGACGTTGGTTGCGAGCAGATCATGACTAGACCTTCCCACTGATTGAGGACTTGAGACAGCAGGAAACTGAACGGAACGAGGCATGATCCATCTCCTCCAATCATTACGCCTTCTAACTTTATCAACCTGCAAAACAACGTGATGGGAAAAAGGTATCAGACATCCTATATGATAAATCAGAAAGCAACAAATTTTACTATGTTAGACCATCTCCAATGTTGAATCAAAAACTTCATCAAATTTGAGTAAGAATTTGATGAAAATTTTGATTTGATACCTGTTTACTTCAATGCTAAAACTAGAATTTTCATTAGATTTTTTCACATCTCTGGTTGTCCGGGAAGACGTTTGGGTGGATGTCCTGGAGGTCAACCGAACATAAACAAAAAAGCTATCAAAGTTGCCCTTGGGTAGACATCCAGGTGGACATCCGAGAGGATGTCTTGTCCAACGTAAACAATTTAAATTTGATGAAAGATAAAAAGCTCCCTTCATTTGATGAAAATTTTGGTTTTCCCTCTATTTGATATGAATCTAGTGAATGGGTTGGAGCGCCAAAATGAGACGTTTTTCATCACATTCAAATTTGATAAAACGTCTGATGCTGGATTGGAGATGCTCTTACAAACCTAATATCACATTGCAATTAATATAAAGCTCTCAACTAAATAATAATAATATTTATTTATTTATTTATTTTTAAAAAGTGGATCATAATTCGATTAATTTCCAAAATTAGTAGAATTCAGTGGGCAAATAGTACAGCTGGTTTTGAGAGGGGTGAGAATGTGGAACCCATGATGTTATTGGTGTCAAATCACAAATCAAATCAAGAATCATTTGGCTCAAATAGTGAATTGTGAATCCTATTATTTAGAATAATATAGAAATTTATATATGTATATAAATATAAAAATACATTGTTTAAAATAAAATAAATATCTATATAACTAAATTGTATATATACATATAAAACCACATATATCAATATAATTAGTTGATCTCTCTTTTTATTTTGCAAAAATGATGTCGAAATCAAATATTGTAGTGAATGGAAATTGAATCATATGATTCACTCAATTTAAAGATTTAACAGCATGAAATCGAATATTGAATCGCAAAATTTTAACCACCATCTATGTACCATTCGCCAGGAAGCACCAAAACTAAGAAATTAAAAATCACTGAACTTTGAGTAAATGGAATCCTTTGTAGAAATTCTAATATACCTGCACTTCCACTACATCTGATGTGCGGACAGCATCCAATATAAGCTGGACATTGTCTGTCATATCCATAACCTGTAAAAGAATCCAAGAAATAAACATGTCATCTGAATTAAAAGCTAAAGAAGAAATCGAACTAGAAGCCAAGCATTCTTTAAGTAGCTTATTTGTATTATCAACAGCAGCAATAATATACAATTGATAAGTAAATGTGCTATTGCTGAAAGACTGAAGGAAGATGAAGAATACGTTAAAGCCTCCTCTCGCCATGCTTAAATAAAGTCTCAATAAGGGGATATCCAACAACCTGACGAGTAATGATGGAACATAAATTAATTTACCTTATTCTATACAGTGGATCTTCCTAGCTTTCTAAGAAACTTACCAGGAGAGAAATCAGATTAACGCCATGCCACTTTATTTGCAAATTGTAACTGACTAGCCAATATGATGCCAAATGTCAGAGTCCTTCAAAGTCAACCATTTCAGTTTTACAAATAGTGGTTCCATGTGGAACTCCCATGCTTAAAAAACGAGCTATCTGAACAATTTTCATCATCAACTACAAGACTTGTAGTCTTGTGCTAAGGATGTCCATTGAAACAAAGCATAAGATGCACTTGCAGAGAGCACCAAAAGTTTTGAGGAAAAAGGAACGGGGATCACCAGAACAGATATCAGTATATGGTAACTAAGGTTCTGAAAAGCGGTTGCGGTCGTCGTAACGGTGGCGGTGGCGCGGTTGCGGGGTGTAAAGGCCGTAGCGTAACGGTTGCGGTAACCGGAATCGTAAATTTTTTTATTTTTCGCACAATTTGAAAAAAACTTACCGATACGCATATTTTTTTCCATGATCATATTTATTAGGTTTAAAATAAATATTGATTAATTTTTGTAAATTTTTAAATATGATCCAATATATTTCATATTTTTAAATCACTATAAACTGAGTTTTTTTCATTTTATTTTAATAATTAATGACTTTATATTATACAAAAAATCAATTACTAACTATTATATATAAGATAAATAATGACAAAAATAAGAGAATAAATAAGAGCCTAAATATATATATATATATATTTTAACCAAGCCAAATAGATAATGACCACACTTATTATTATTATTATTATTTTCAAACAATATATAGATAGACACATACAAACAAAATGGTTGAGTGATAGCAGGTGAATAAAATAGCATAGGTCTTACAGTTTCAACAAATCAATAACATATTCTTCATCTTCCCTCTTTTCTCTCTCTATCTTTTGCTCCTCCATTTTCTTTCTTTATTTTCCCTCTTCTCTCTATCCCTCTTTTCCCATTTTCAGCTTTTTTTTGTGTGTTTTTTCGAAAGAAACAGTTCGAAACTGTTACGTAACGGTGCGTAACAGGCCGTTATGGTTGTAACGGTGCGTAACGTTACGGCACCGTTACGACCGCTAAGGCAACCGCTACGGTCGACACACCTGTTAATCTCAATCACACTGCAAAAGCGGCCGTAACGGGTGGCGGTAACCACCAAAACCGTTACGTAACAGTGTTACATAACGGTTGCGGCCGCTTTTTAAAACCTTGATGGTAACTAATCCTAATAGTTAAACAAACAAGCATCTAGACATTATAGCAGCTTTTAAAGATTGCCTGGAGAAAGTAAAGAGGTAAAAAAGCGGAAGGCAAGGAATCATATAGAGGCAAACACAAGCACAACAAAACAAAGTAACAGAATTCAACTGCAATTCATCAATGACCAATTCATCCAACATTCATTGTTACAGAAATGAAAATGAATATAACAGCAAGTTTTAACTATTAGGAATGAAATTGAACTTGTCAAATTTGTACGCTGGTTTTAAGCAGAGCCACCAAGCAATGCCCTGACAAACAAATTTACATCATAAACTGTATGGGTTTCAATTGAATCGAATAAAAACCAATCTAGACTCTTTTAAAATTCAGGAGTGGGGTACTTACAAAAATATGAATAAATTAAAATCTCATTGAGACTGAAAGTAAAAACTAATATCTTTTCTTCTTTTTATAAATCTGAGTGACGTCAGCCTATCTGTGTGATTTCCGCCCTCAGCTCCATTGAGACTGTAGGCATTATCTGGAAGAAACTTCTAAAGAGATTAAAGAAGATCCCAATTAACACACCTTTGCTAGAAATAGAGGGTATAAGAATTCTTGTCAAATAGAACATGTCACACTGTGGTTTCAAATTTTAGACCTGTTCAAAATATCAAGGTGCTGCAATACAACTCAATAAAGGAGATATAGCCTAACATTGAGTACCATAGCTATGACACATATGAACAGGAAGATGGGAATCTAACACGAGTTCATGGAGACTTTGAACTGATCTCAAGTAGCAGTGATGTGTCCAGAGCATGAAGTGCTAGTAGTTTGCATAGAATAGATACGACTGTGCCTCTCATTGGCACCGATAAGAATTAAATGGTTCAGTATATTTTTAGTTTTTTTTTTTTTAAGGGTACAAGAAAACTATGAAGAAGTTTCTAGATATTGTGAGCAAATGGCGATAGAGAAGTCATTGAGAGGATAAAAGGAGAAAAGCTAATTCTACAAAGGATAGGGAGTTTAAAAAACTGGTGAGTATCACGAATCATGACAAAGGCAGGAGGTTTTGTGAAGGAGGTGAGGAAGGGTAGGAGAACACAAGGGAGTATCCAAGTCTACAATATGCAGCTCAGAATAATTTCTCAAAATGTGAGAGGCCTCGATGATCCTAACTAAAAAGCAATTATAAAGGATGTTATAAGAAGATGGAATGCTATGTATTAAAGATGCCTGCCTCCCTTAGTATTTTATTTATTTATTTATTTTTAATTGGCGAAAGTCAGTTGTTAATTGTTAGATTAGCTTCGGAGGAGTTGAACCCCCAACTTCTCCCTTGCAACCACCTAAGTGTCGTTTCCATACCATGGGCACCTCTCTTACTCATATGATGGCAAAAATCAGTTAGTGAAATTTTTATTCATGTGTTTGAAGTAGGGTATAGGGATGGCTCTCAGACTTTTGTGTCTCATCTTCTATTTGCTAATTATAAAAGGAGTAATGGTTGAGATGGCCGAGGTATGTCTTCTTGTATTTTGAGGTTGCATCTAGGCTTCATGTAATTTGGCTAAGAGTACTCCTAGTAAGATAGGGGAGGCGAATAATATGAAAAACCTAGCTAAAATTTTAGAATGTCATGTTACTTATTTGCAACATCAAATTTGGGGTTGTTTTTAGGGCCTGGTTCAAAGCCATAGCAGTGTGGGATGAGGTTGTGGAGAGATTTGACAGAAAGCTTGCTATATGAGAGAGAGAGAGAGAGAGAGAGAGAGTACTAAACAAAAGGAGCCGATTGACTTTCATTAAAGGCATCTTTCTAGCTTGCCTACATAGTTGATGTTTGTTTTATCTATTCCATGTTTGGTGACTAAGAAAATGGAAAGGTTGCAAACGGATTTTCTATGGGGGTCAAGAAGAGGAGTTCAAGTAACTGATTAGTGGATAGGCATAGAATGTGCTTGCCTATCCAAAGGGGAGGTTTGGGAATTCAAAAGTTGGAATTGTTTAACAAAGCTTTGTTGGGTAAGTAGCTATGGAGATCTGCTTTAGAGGATGACAGGTAGTACACAAAAGTGTTGAAAGGAAAGCATGGAAGAGTTTGGAATAATTGGTCCAATGGTAGAATTATAAGGCCGTGAGGCTGAGGATTTGGAAGAGCATAATGAGGGTTTGGTATGAATTTGCTAATAGAATCATTTCCAGGTAGGTTATGGGGGTAAAGTGAGGTTTTGACTTGATTCATAAATGTGGCCAATAAACTTTAAGGAAGGTGTTTCCAGATTTATTTCTTTTGACTTTGAATAAAAATGCTTTTTTGTGGGAATATATGATGATTATTTATAGTACAGTGTGAACTCCTAAGTTTTGAAGGTCTTTGGAGGATTAATAAATTCTGTCCATAGAAGCCTTTTTAGGATGTTTATATGCTCAGAGGTGGGGGTAACCAAGATACTTTGGTTTGGAAATTTTGAAGAAGGGGCATATTTTTGTGCATTCTTTTATTAGAATTTTTGTGGTTGTGGGGACCACTTCCTTAGAAAAGTAAATCAAAGAGTAGGATCCCTCTTACTGCTTCTCTTTTTGCTTGGACAGCTACTCACAAGACTATTTTAACAAATTCATAACATTACGAAGAGACGGAAATTGACTATAGAATGGTAAAGCATGTGTAAATAGGAAGGGAATAGTATTAATCATCTTATTCGCCATGGTTGGTGAGTTATGTGTAAATAGGAAGGGAAAACTATTAATCATCTTATTCTCCATGGTTGGTGAGTTATTGAGTTCAATTTACTTAATAACTATCTTAACTATTGATAACATTGTTAAGATTGCTATAGAGCTTAGCATACACCACAAAGACTATGCCCTATTTTTGTCATCTTTAATGTATCACTCAAGATATTCAATTTGTCACACAGTTGCATGGTTGATGATACCGAATACATTTCCAACAATTCTGACAATTGAAAATATAATGTTCTAGGTTGCATAAATGACTTAAGATGGAAAAGAAACTCATTTTCATGAATTACCTATAAAGAGAGGATACATGAAAAATATCAGAAGTCTTATCATCAGGAAAAATAAGCAGAAAAAAAAATTCAAGTATCCCCAAAAACTCACTTTGTTGAAGCCTGCTATTAAATCAATGGAAACCCAGCCATGTTCATCCATATTCTGCCGCAAGTAGATGTCTTTAATTAAATTTTCGTTACTGCAACAAAGACAGAATAGGTGCACTGGCTGTTAAGTTTCCAACAACAACAAAAGGCAATTAGCTAGATATAATTACCTTTATAAAACAAGGCAACCAATAGAATAAGGTACCTGAAGTAATATTCTATCTGAGTCACTATCCTAGCTTGCAACTGTGGATCCGTGACAGGATAAAAGATGGCATGATGTGTTACTGGTGCAACAATAGGTGGAGGCGGAGCTGGAACATAAATCACCGGAGGGGCTACTTCTGCAAACAGATAGAGGCGTTAGGGAAACCCAAACATTCAATCATGAAACATAAAAAATAATAAAAATACAAATATCTAACCAGGGTAAACCATAGGGTTGCCAAAAGCTCGCACAGGCACTTGTGGAGGAGGAATAAATGGCGGTGTAGAACTACGCGGTGGGGGTCGCATAAAGCCCCTAACAAATCTTTGCGACTGCATGTGACCATCTCTGCCATTAAAATTTCTCCAATCATGACTCCCACGGTCCTGATCCCGCCTGCCGCCATAATTGTGATGGTAAGAACCATCACCACCACGAGGATGGGGGCCTGCATTGCCTCTCTTGAACAAATTGCGTTGGTGTGGTGGGTGATCATTCCCACCATGGGTTTGTGACCCAGAGCCCCCCCTTTGTCCACTTTCCTTGTGTGTATGGTCTCTTGGAGATGACTCTACAGCAGCTGAGCCGGGTTTTCCAGCATTATTAGAAGGCATTTCCACTACTAGACCCACTGGTGGTAGTGGCGGTGGCTGAGGAAATCCACCATTAGCGGTTACACTTCCGCTCGAAATCCCACCACTGCGCTTCATAGATTTCTGGCGTATGGGTGTTACCGAGGTTGGAGTTAAAGTAGGGTTTGTATTGTTTGTGATGACTTGTTTCTGTGAAGAAGACACAATCCCAGTCCCCTATAGTACAGAAACACACATACATACACAATGGAATGAAATGAATGCAGATAACAATATAAACTAGGGAAAATTTCATTTCATTTAGGCTGTGCTTGGTTGGGGAATCTAAGAAGTATATTTTATCCATATTTTATCTTCTTTTTTCTTTTCTTTTCTTTTCCAAATCTCTTCCCAAATCCCCAACCAAACACAGTTAAGTGGAAGTCCAAATTTTTTTTTTTTTTTTTTTTGCATATTAATGAAAAACTTTGCTACACGAAAAGTGAAACTCCCAAAGTTTTCCATCAAATTGATATTTATTTTTTGAACATACCACCGATTTGTTATTTCCCCTATAAACTAACATCAAAACCAATAATTCCACATCAACAACATAAAGATAATGATACTCATAACCAAAACAAAGCAAAATGAACTAAAAATAGAAGAAAAAGAAGATTCAGAGTTGAATACAATGAAAACAACCTGTGATATTAATACCGATCCATCAGAGTGAGCTCTCACTGAATCAGAAGAAGACGATTTCGGAGAAGCCCTAGTAGACTCAGAGAGAGCGGGCCAAGAAACAGCCCCCATTACTGTTCCAACTTCAACAACACCATTCGAAGGCCTGTTCCAAGCCGGCTTCTTAGCCGCATTATCAGAGCCCTCCGGCTGAGCCTCAGCAGCAGAATCATCTGGCGACGACAACGACGACGAAGCTAAAGCCACCGTCGCCGCCGCCGCCGCCGATGCTGAAGGAGAGGAAGGAGCCGCCGGCACGGGAGCGGGAGGAGCGGAGGAGGAGACGATCGATTCAGATTCAGCGCCGCGAACAATCTGTATCCACGGCGACGATGCGGCAGCACGCGCCGCCGCACCACGCTTCGATCGTGGGCTGTTGAGGGCGGCGGAGGAGTCGCCGCTGCCGGAATTACGAGGAGAGTGATTAGCAGCTGCTGCCATCAAAGTTAGGGTATCGGAGTCGAAGGTTCTCGAAATTAGGGTTTTGAAATGGCAGAGCCGCAAATTAGGGTTTCTATCTCTATTTTTTTGGTCGACAAGTCGATCGACAAATTAAAAAAAAAAAAGAAAAAAGAACGATAAAAAATTTAGAGAGAGAGAGAGAGAGAAATGAAGAGGTAATTTACAAATGAGATTTTGATGAGTTGATAATGCAATACCGAGAGAGTTCCAAAGATTGCTTGGCGGATCACGGAGAGATTCCGATCGCGCTCAAGACGACGATGCTGAGCTGCAATGAGCTTTCTCTCTCCTCTCTCCTCTCTCTCTCTCTCTCTGTGCTATTCGTTTCTTCTTTGCTTTGCTCGGGGATGCCCCGTGTTCTGTAAATTACGGAAGTGCCCCCAATTTGTTTACATTTTTGCAGATGGGGAATGGTACGGAGTGACGGCGTTGAGTTGTAGTCACTTCACGACCGTGACGGGATTGGACCACCACCCTGCACCTTCACCGGTTATAAATGTTAAGTAGATTAGGGTTAGTTTTACTTTTATCTTATAATTTATTTATAGATAAATTACAAATACAATTAATAAGATTTATTTAAAGTATAAATTAAATTTTATTTAAAGTATAAATTAAATTTTAAAAATTATAAATATTTTTCTATTAAAAAAATTTATTTAACAAAATTAGTTAAAAAATAAAATTCATAATTATTCTTTTATACAATAATAAAATTAATTAAATTATTAATTAAAACGTATTTCTAACATCATTAAAAACTGTTAATGGACTTGATGATTTATTAATAAAAATGACAATTTGTTATAAAATTAGAAATCTCATGAGTGAAATGTGGTTTTTAAAATCACAAGAAGCGATTCGTATTTTAATCAAAGTTCATGAAGTGTATTTGTAATTTATCTTTTATTTATTTATTTTAAAAAAAATTATAAATAAGAGTAACAAAATAAATCTTAAATTTTTTATTTTGCCAATTTAATTTTTAAAATTTTAATTTATTTTTAGGCTTCGTTTGGGAAATGGGTTGGCTTTTTGACTTTTTGATTTTTTTGGCTATTTTAGCTTGGGCTAAAAAGCTTAGTTTGGGAAGAGCTTTTTCGCTTTTTGGCTTTTTTGTCTTTTTTTGTGAGAGAAGAGTGTAATGATTATGGGTTGAATGTGATGTTTTGTTTGTTGTGGTTAAAATAGCTTATTTTGTCTTTTGTGACTATTTTAGTCAAAAAAGCCCAAAAAGCCTCTTCCCAAACAGAGGCTTAATCTAAATTATTTGTCTATTTTTTTTAAACTAAAATTGATAAAGAAGAATGATATTTTAGTCATTAAATTTAATGAAAAATAATATTTTAGACATTTTATGTATTTTTACATTGAATTTAATAACTAAAATATAGGGCACTTGGTCCAAACGTCCAAATTTTAATTTTGTTTGTTGAAAATTCAGGCGATAAAATATTTTGTCTAAAAAGACAAACTCAAACAAAATGACCAGCATACCCTTCCTTATATATACGTCATATATATGGTTTAACCCAAACAAATCACATTCCATATCTCTCTCTTTCTCACCTCTACTCTCTCTCACCTCCTCTTTCGCGCCATTGCCACAGTCGCTAGGGGTAAGCAACGGATATTTTGATCCACCCAAACCAACTGAACCAAACCGATCCACTGCATTTTGGACGGATGCGTGATAACGAACGAATAGTTGCAGATTGATTTTTTTCAATTCGCCTAATTTTGGATGGATAGCGGATTTGAGATTCCTTTGACCACAACCGAACTGCCAAACCACGAGCACCCCTAGTAATTTGTAAGACTTTATGTTTTCAATTTGTGTAGATATTCTGTTTGTGTTTTCAATTGAAAAATAATTTAGATATTCTATCGTGTTTTTAATTTGGAAATCATTTTATCAAATGGCAAGAGTTGATATTTGGTATTTTTGTGTAGAAAACATAAGGCTTAATTTTGTCATTTTAAAAAAAAAAATCAAATTAAATAGTTTTTGAATTAAAAAAGTAATGAAATAGTTTTGATAATATATGATTTTATTATATCTATTTATTATTGATATTTGACAATATTTGATAATTTTTTGGTTATGTTGAGTTGTGATGCTAATAGGCACCCAAAAGGGCTCAGCCCATGGATTAGGGGCCAGCCCACAGCCTAGATATTAAAGCCTAATAACTTTGAGAAACCAATACAGGGCCAAGACCAACACCATTCAAGCACTTATTAGGCAGAGGCCCAACCACGTAAGCAGACAAAGAACCTGCAAAGTTATTGCACCCATACATCAACCATCAAATGAGCCTCTTGTAGCATTAAATACGACAACCCCTTCATGCTGGAGGAAGCAAACTCATCATGAACGATGTCAACTAGACTATAGACTTTCGGCCAACAAGATAGCTTTGAATGGACAATGAAATGATAAGCAGATGATATAAGGAAGTTTTCGAGATACATCGAAGGTAAGTTCATTCACTCTTTTTTTTTTCTTTTTCTCTCTCTCTCTCTCTCTATAAAAAAAATCAATCCGTCCTAACTTGATCGCTGGAGTGTCCGTCAGGGGACTTTCTCTCCCTTTGGACCCTTTTTGCAGGCATTTCCCAAGGACTCCTGGGCCAGCAGATTGGTTGGAACCGTGGATCAATCCGACCCATCCATTATTGGACCCAATCGCATTATCAGTTGGCGCCGTCTGGGGAAAACTTGTCTCTGGTCGACAGTTGTGTTCATTGTCACCGGAGGAAACTCCGCTACCACCCATCTCCCACTCTAGGGTGGATGATCATAACAAGGTCTATGGCTTCACAACATAATGCTGCCAATCCTGAAGTTGAATCTTCTAACCCAAATAACCCACCCCCACATTTCGCAGAACTCACCAACAGCATCAACCGGCTGACAAAGTAAAACCAAGTTCTGATTAACGCTTTGCTCCAGCGTGACCTACCTATCCCGTCCCTACCGCCACAAATAGTCCCCCCGACCCCAGAACACACCCACAATTGTCATAAACTTCCACCACATATGTCCCAAGGAATATTTCCACCATTCGTCTCGTAGCCTTAACCATCGAACCTTTGATGATCTGCGCGCCCTTCCCCCAAGCTCGCAGCCTTGCCACGAGAGACCATCGTCTTTTCATAACCATCCACCTCCACAGCATGCTACGTCCATGAAGGCAAGGCTAGCAATGTCCAGCCCCCACTTCATGCATGTGGGGACAATGTCCCTGTTTGAGACGAAGAATTACGAGCCATGAAGATTCAACTGCAAGGAATCATGCAAAACTTGCAGCGCAAACCTCCCTCAGCTGTCAACTCTCCTTTTTTTGCTTTCATTAGGGATAAAGCTTTGCTCCCTAAGTTCAAAATACAACCGATCCGATTGACCATGTGAAGGCCTATCGCACACTTATGATCCTCAACGCCTTCCGAGGCGAGATCATGTGTCGTGCTTTCCCTGCCACATTGAATGGATTGACACGACTTTGGTTCAGTCAACTCCCTCCAGACTCCGTCACTTTGTTTCACTAGCTCAGTGAATCCTTCATGAGTCACTTCATTGGCACCCAACGACAACGGCACCCGGTGACCCAACTCCTACGCATTCGGCAGACCGAGAAGGAATCACTCCGCAATTTTGTCACCTGTTTTAACACGGAGGCTTTATAGGCAAAGGAAAATAATGACAAGGTCATCCTCATTGCCTTCATGGCTGGTTTGCGCCCGTCAGACTTTCTCTTTTCTTTCTCCAAGAACTCCCCGACAGCAATGGCCACCTTTCTCACTAAAGCCCAGAAATACATGAATGCCGACGACTCTCTGGCAGCTTGCCAAGATTCCACATCTAGAACCCTGCAACCTAAGGAGAATAGAAAAGAACCTGAGCCCAAGCACTCATAATATACCCACAGAACCTCCCAATATATAGACCGACCTCCACGTTCAGACCGACCACCCCTTACCCGACAACCTGGTCGATTCGAACGGTACACGCCTTTCAACTCACCTATAGAGCAAGTCTTGCACCAGATCCAACGTGACTATAACCTCAAATGGCCCCAACTGTCAAAATCTCCCTCCACCAAGCGGGACCAATCCAAATTTTGTCGTTTCCATCGTGACCACGGCTATACCACAGAAGAATGTATCAACCTTAAAGACCAAGTTTAAAATTTAATCTGCCAGGGGTGTCTCAACCGGTTCACATCAGCCCCCCATCACAGAACCAGGGCCGACCGTCCAAGATGCAATGACCAACACACTCCTTCCAAACACCCCGAACCACCTGGGTGGCAGGATGACCGGGCTTCGCAACAATCCCGCTTGCAAGGCAGGCCTACCCTTCAATAGGCGAGATCAAAGTCATCACCGACGGGCTCCCGTGCGGCAGACCATCTTGGTTGGCATAGCGAGCTGAACTCAAAAAGATTAGGCATGGTTCCGATAGGGAAGTAAAGACGGTGGACTGCCTCCTCAAACACCCCAAGCAATGGTCTGAGCCGATCACCTTTATGGAGGCGGATTGCACAGGCGTTCGCTACTCTCACGACGACCCCCTGGTCATTTCTACTCTTTTATCAAACTACTGAGTCAGGCGGGTACTTGTTGACAATGGCATCCCCTTCGACATTATCTTCCTTAACACCTATTGACAACTTCAGGTTGGAAAAGAAAAGATGTCGCCTCTATAGACCCCTCTGGTCGGCTTCACTGGGGATCATGTGACCTTCCTTGGCTTTATAGACCTTCCAATCACTATCAAAGAATACCCACAATAGTCCACAAAACTCCTCACCTTCTTCACCGTTGACTGTTCTTATGCTTACAACATTATACTTGGACGCACAGCTCTCAACGATCTCCAAGCTGTAACCTCCACATACCATTTTGCCATAAAATTTTCGACCGATTAAGGGGTCGGCATGAGGGGTGAATAAACGGTTACTAGAGAATGCTATGTCGCCTTATTAAAAGAGGTCAAAACGAGGGAGACTATGATCATAGAAGGCCTGGATGTCAGAGATGAGGAAGAGCTAATCCGAAGAGATCCAGTGGAAGAACTAGTCGACGTACCCATTGATCCCACCAACCCAACGAAAACAGCTAAGATTCGCAGCCAGCTACCTCCTTAAGCCAAGGCCGACGTTACAACTGTCTTAATCGAGCATAACGATGTCTTTGTTTGGACTCACTTAGACATGCCGGGTATTGACCCTTCTTTTATTACTCATCGCCTTAGCATCAAGTCCCATTTCCGACCATTTCGTCAAAAGCAGTGCATCTTTCATCCAGAGCACAACAATCTCATTGTTACTGAAGTGGACAACCTGTTGAAGGT